TTATTTCTTTCTTTGCTATCATAGGGTTAGTATGATGTATGTATAATAAAAGTTTAATGAGTAAATGAATGAATGAACAAACGAAACTCATGCAAAAGGAAGGGGATAAAACTTAAAAGCTAGAGACAGAAGCTTGCTTTCAGCTGATTACTGTGTACTCTGAATAAGTGGCTATTTTTCAGAAAGTAAAATTAAGACTCTTAAAAATAAGGACAAATGCAGTTAGCCAAGCCAAAATATAGCAGGAATGACTCATTCACCTAATTATCCTCCTCTCATTGGATACTGAGAATGATTTTAGGACCCACAAGTCCTAGAGAATCAGCCAGGAAGCTCCATATGTGAGGGCAGAGACAGGGGCTTCTTGGAGGGGACCTGTAGTGGTGTCCTTTGGAACAGAGTTGCCAGGTGGTACCTGATTTCCTTAGTTCTTGTCCCATAGATGATGGGGTTGACCAGACATGGGAGCAGCAGGTAGAAGGTGCTGAGCAGGTTGTGCACATCCTGGGAGGCAGTGTGGGCTGTACGATAGACAATGGATGAGGACATGGTGGATAAGTAGACAGTGAAGATGACCAACAGGTGGGAGCCACATGTGTTCAGGGCCTTGGAGCGTGCTCTACCTGATGAAATCCTGAAGGCAGCATGGATAATATGGGAGTAGGAGGTGCCTAGTAGGAGCATGTCTAGGACTCTGTTGAAGATGCGGACAGTGAGCCCTACAGTCTTGTTTAGGGAGATGTCTCCACAGGAGAGCTTCATGAGGGCCATGTGCTCACAGGCAAAGTGCTGGATCATGTCTGAGCGGCAGAAGTGAACCCTGGAGGCCAGAAACACCACTGGAGCTACAATGCAAGTGCTCCTGGTAGCTGCTGCTCCCACCAGGCCAGCCAGCAACTGGCCTGTCACTATCTCTGGGTAGCAGAGCGGGTAGCAGATGGCAACATAGCGGTCCAGAGCCATGACCAGGAGGATGTTGCAGTCAAAGACAATGAGGAAGTAGATGCAGAACATCTGGATCAGGCAGCGAGCTAGGGAGATGCAGTTGAAGTGTGTGGAGAAGCTAAAGAGCATCGCGGGCACCACGGTGGAGGTGGCACAGATGTTGACAGCCAGGAGTAGGGCAATGAGCAGGTACATGGGCTGGTGCAGGCTCTGCTGGGTCAGCACTGTGTGGATGACCAGGGCATTGGTAAAGATAATCATTAGGTAGAGGCTGAGGAAGGGCAGCACCAGGAGGGCACGGGACTCCCTCAGCCCTGGGAAGCCCGCTAGGAGGAAGCTGGTGTAGGACACATTGGAACTTCCATTGCTCCACCTTGACATCTTCCCTGGGTGAGTGGGGTGGTTCTGGAGAAAGAAGGAATAGGAGGTCTGGTTTCTGTGTCCAGCCCTGCCAGCCTCAGCCTCACCAAGCTGGACTGGGCGCTTTGACCTCCATGGGCCTCCAGTGTTCCTAGAGAGAGAAGGAAAAGTTATGTTTCAACATTTAGTGATATGCTTCAAGAAATAACTTTTCATAGCTCTAACTTGCTTATTTTTCTTTTTTTTTGAGATGGAGTCTCACTCTGTTGCCCAGGCTGGAAGGCTGGAGTGCAGTGGCACAATCTTGGCTCACTGCAACCTCCACCTCCTGGGTTCAAGTGATTCTTCTGCCTCAGCCTCCTGAGTAGCTGGGACTACAGGCACATGCCACCATGCCCAGCTAATTTTTGTATTGTTAGTAGAGATGAGGTTTCACCATATTGGCCAGGCTGGTGTCAAACTCATGACCTCTCATGATCTGTCCACCTCAGCCTCCCAAAGTGCTGGGATTACAGGTGCGAGCCACTGCATCCAGCCAATTTCTTCCCCTTTATGGGTTGACCCCTCCTCTACATTCTGTTAACTTATCACCTTCTAGGTCCATGAGCTGTGTGGTTTGTTACATCCACAGGCTGGCTGCCAGTACTTAGATTTACCATGCCACGAAAATGGACCATTTATAGCTGGGCATGGTGATGCATGCCTGTAATCCCAGCTACTTTGGAGGCTGAGACAGGAGAATCACTTGAACCTGGGAGTCAGAGGTTGCAGTGAGCCAAGATTATGCCATTGCATTTCAACCTGGGTGACAGAGTGAGACTTCCCAACAAACAAACAAACAACAACAAAAAAGAAAATGGACCATTTAAAATGTTTTCTTACAGTCTCAGACTGGTTTTCTTTTTAAGAGGAGGTTAGGGCAATTTAACTGATACTATACAGGTGAAAATGGAAAAGAGTGAGATAAAATCTCGGGTGATATTTTTGGTTTAATGCTTTTGGTTTTGTGAAACATTCTCTTAGCCTTTAGAGCAGTGAAGCAAAGCTCAAGAGGGCTTGCTGTGCCTAGAACTTTTCTCTATAGGCCTGATTTTGTCCCTTGTTTGTTATGTCCACCAAGCAGCTCAACCTTTAGTCATAGCTGGGTGTTAAACCCAGGCCTACTGGGCTGTAACACTCACACTATTACCTCCCTATTAAACAGTCACCTTACTGTCACCTAAAATGATTGTTTTTCCAATTTTATTTCCCCTTCTTTTCTCATCATTGTCATCTAACAGCCTAAAGGTTCTTTAACCATTTTCTTTTTTTTTTTTTTTTNTTTTTTCTATATGAAGTCTTCACTTGTTTTTTCACTAACAAACTCTTATTGAGGCCCTATTTTGTGCTAGGCTGTATTCTGGGGCTTAGGATACACAATAAATAATTGACTGTCTATGTCTTGAATGAGCTCACATTAGGCTGAATAAGACTGAAGTGACAAGTAAGAAATAAAGTGCAGTGATTAACAGGATGTTAAAATAGGACCCTTTCTGCTTCAGATTCATCTGATGTGCCCAAAGCCCAAGAACAAAATGCAAGGCAAGTACTCCTTTCTTCATCCACCTTGAGGTGCTGGAGTAGCCTTCCTATACAGGATTTAAGAGGAGGTGGCTGAAAATTGTTGTTGCAGTCTTTAGTCCAATGTGTACCTGGAAAGTATAAAAGGTTTGGGGTTGGAGAGTCTGAGAGAGAAAGCCTTTGGAGAGAACTGGCATTTTCCTTTCCCACATCCCACAGTGGGAGGGGGGTAGCAGAAAAGGGAGATTACTCCACAGCCTCACCAGGAAGCCCTGGATGCTTTGGCCTTTGTGAATTACATTTCTGCAGAGAAAAGGAAGAGGTTTTTGTTATCAGTTGGTGAGATACTTCATGAAATAACATCATTCTATAGCCTCTTTTGTCCATTTTGCTTTCTCATTTAATTATTATTTTTTATTTTGTTTACTTTTTTCTTTTTTCTATTTTTGTCTCCTTTCTCATTTTTATTCAGTTACTATTTCTTTATTTTTTTTCTTCACATCTTTCTGAGCATCTACTTTGTGCTAGACCATATGCTGGATGCATGGATATAACAATAAGTAACATTTTTGTTCTCTGAGTCTGCATTCTACTGAGTAGGCTAGTAATGACAACCAGTGGTCAAAATACAGCATGTAACAGTGTACTCAACAAACACATCCCAAAATGCTATCTGCTTTTTACATCTGTCAAGCCCAGGTCAGTTGAGGCCATGTCTACTTTTGATCTATCTCCATTCCTGACTTGGTGAGGTGAAAAGCCATCAGTCACAAACTAGGGAGAGGAAAGAAAGGATAAGGAAAAGATTAAGAGACAGTTCTGACTAGCTCCCATTTCCCAGCCTGGGCATCCAGTTTGGAGGAGGCACAGGTGGTGGGGGTGGTGCTGGTGCAGTTTCTAATTTCAGAGTTTGGGGCTTTTATAGTTAGATGTATGTAGCTATTTGAATGGTTAATATCAGGTGGTCTTTGAAATTAAAAGTGATCCAAGGACTTTTTAAATATTTTTAAAAGAATTAACAAAGTCATAATGAAACTTCTTGAGAATTTGTCCAAGGAGCAACACAGATCAGACCTGAATGGAGAATAGGCAGAAAAAGTAAGCTGTTCTGATGCTCCCTTTGGAGCTTCGCTCTTCCAATGAAATGATGTAAGAAGAGCTTTAGGGCCAGGCACAGAGACTCTTGTCTGTAATTCTAGCACTTTGGGAATCTGAGGTGGAAGGATTGCTTGAGATCCAGGAGATTGAAACTAACCCAGGCAATATAATGAGCAATATAAATACACTGTCTCTACAGAAAATAATAAAGAAAATTAGCTGGGTATCGTGGTGCACATCTATAGTCCCAGCTTCTTGGGAGGCTGAGGTGGGAGGACTGCTTGAGCCCAGAAGATTGTGGCTGCAGTGAGCCATGATCAAGAGATTCAGGAGCATGATGGATGAAGATCTGACTGTGTCTGCTGTAGTTTGGGAGAGGAATGAGAGAAAGATTTATTGAGGAAAACTAAGCCCAGTAAATGCTTTACTGAGTTCAGGTATGTTAGGTTCTTCCAGTTTTGGCAAGTGCATAAAAATGGAACTGATATGTAGATATCTAGAGATATCTGACAGGGACTAACTTTAAGTTGAACAACCTGTAATTGACATTAGCCTTTTTCCCTTTCCTTTTTTCAATCTTCAGATATTTCCAAAGATTTCTTACAAATGTACTGCAGAGAAATCCCAAACCCACGTTCCAATTCTTTCAGTAAGCATAAGTACTTTGTCTAAGCAAGAGATTTGAATTTTACTGGCATTGTCAGATGCTCTCTTAGAATCTCTTACCATGATAGGGAATGGGCTTTAGTTCTTTCAGACATCCTTGTTATGCCTTTTGTGGTTTTAAGCTATTTTCTCATGATATGGGGATAGAAACAAAGTGGAAAATGAGCAATTTCTTTGTTATTTTTTTTTTTTTTGGCATGGGTTGCTTACTTTAATAACAATATATATACCATTTTATCATGATGGAATGTAAATTCAGTTTAGACAAGAGAATTTCAGAAGTGTAATAGCATTCTGTACTATATAAAAGTTTGGGTATACTGTCTGGCCAAACCAGCTTGCTCATAGGTCATTAATCAAATCCATTATAGGTCATTTTTTCAGTTTAATGTTTACAATTCTTATGGAAAAAATAAGCAGTGCACACATTTAAAAAGTGTTCATTTACCTTTGCTATGAGTGCTTAAAATACATATTTCCATTTCAAGATGACATTTAAAATTTACTCTAATATAACAGCAGCAAAAATATAATTCGCAGTTACACAAGAACTAGAGTCCATAAGTTATTCTCATGTTTACAACTGAGATCCTTTAATAAATACTTCTATTATGCAGCTCTACGGTAAGCTTTCTACATTTGGTTTAAACACATGCACATATACATATTGTTAGTTGTGGGAAATTTTACAAGTTATATTCCATGAACTTTTTGGACAGAGTTCTAAAAGGGCCAGCCTGTCCACAAAACAGGCAGAAAAAAGCTAAATTAACTGGGGCAAATAGGACTCTTATATAACATCCAAAACATCTGGGATTCTGCAGCAAACTGGGAGTACTTCAGGGTTGGCCTGTTATCTTCTTTAGAATTAAGTTCATCTTAACAATTTAAGAAGGTGTACATTTCAACATCATCAAGTGCATTTAGGTGACATGTTTCTTTCAAGTTAACTTGACTTCCTTGAATAATCTAGTTAGTAAACTACCCACTAGTAACGCAGACACACCAGGAAAATCAAGCCTGCAAGAAAGGAAGTCAATATTCAAAATGCCATTTTACCATCTAAACCCATACAAATTAGTTTATTTTCAACAATACATAACTTAAATAAACAGATCTAACTAAAGTAAGCTCCTCCAACAAGACCAAGACAGCATCTCTTCTTCTAAGGCTTAGGTTTTGCCCAGTATTCCTGATACATGGAATAGCCATACCAACAGTCATTGCTCCTACAACAAAGCCCTGGGCTGCCACACGCATGTGGATCAGATGAACAGACATTTTAGTATTTCCCTTGCTCTTCAATTTGTATAACCCATATGCAACAATTGCTGCAAAACCTGCCGTTCCAATGGGTACGAATGGTGCCTCTTTAGCTTTTTGAATAACTTTGGATTCCTGATCTTCATCATATGAAGAAAGGGAAATATCTGGGTCTGTTGACATAGTGGTTGCTTGAAGAATCTCCCTGAGAATTTTCTATGATGTTCTACAGTGAGAAAACCTCTCACACGCCAACCCGCTGCTGATTCCTGCACACGAGCCCAGTTCCGCGGCTTCTCTCTTTGTTCTTTCTTAATATTACTCACCTGCTCAAGATCTAGAGAGCCCTTCTGTTTTTTGCCACCCCCACCCTTTCTCCATTCCAAGAACTTACTGAAAACCCCATTCTGGCCCACTTAGACTGCAGCCCTCCCCACAGCCCTTCTGAGGCTGTCTTGGAGGTTCAAGGTCAGAATATGAAGTGGGGACCTTGTACCCAAGGCTTAGGTAGACACCCTAGTCTAGGGCTTGGGCTTTCACAGGCAAGTATAGAGTCAAAGGAAATGAGAAATGGCCTAGGTATCAACAAATGTTTGGTGGTGGACAATCACAGGGATAGGAAGCCTTCGTTCTTCTCCACCTGGGCTTAGAAGGTCAGAGAACCAAGAACTCAGAGACTCAAGACTCAGAGAATCCAAGAACCACTTAGAAGAAAACTTTACAAAGCAAACCCTCCAGGATTGGGTATGGGAAGGAAAAGAGGGGAGAAGGAATCCTTGCCTTCTCCCCACCTGTAATGCCACACAAAGCACTTTTCTAGTTTAAGCTGCTACGTGAAGTAGCTTACTGTTTATGATTACTAAGAGAATTTACAGGTACTGAAAACATTTTGAGGGGCCTTCAAACCCTGTGCCCACATTTGCCCTTACATTACTAAGGTGAAAGCCTCCCCCAAGCCTTCTGCCTGGCCAAGCACTAACTTTGTTACTCACCAGGACTTACACAGACTGAGAGTAGTAGGACCAGTCTGTCTCAGGCCTGGGTTTCTTGAATGCAGTTAAATCTATCCCATTCCTCCCTGGGGGAACTCCCCATAGCGTTCTCCCAGGCTCTGGCTTAGCTAGTCAGCAAGATCCCAGGGGTGGCCAGAATGAGAACACATCCCCTCAGGGACTTGTGGGCTGGAGGAACAGCATGAACAGGAGCAGGGCCTTCATATGGGCATATTAGAGGGTCAGTAATGATGGGTCCTGTTCGGGGAAGTAGAGGGATTTTTCTCTAGCATTTCTCTTTGCTTCTTTACCTACATTCCTCTGAATGACTTAACTCTTTTCATAGCTCCCACCTTTATCTGGACACCTGTGACTCACATGTCTCTACCTACAGGCCAGATGTTGCCCCTGCATCTCAGAGTCATGAATCTAAAAGCCTGTCAGTCAGGAGAACTTCATGTCTCAGAGGAAACTCAAACTTACATGTCCCAAGCTGAATTCATGTTTTCACACTGGCATGTTTTCTTTTTTTTGAAGTACTGTTTATTTTTATTTTTTTGAATAACAGCTTTATTGAGGTAGAGCCCATGTACCATAAAACCCTTTCAAAGTGCTTTTTAGTATACTCACATGGGATTTTACAACCATCACCATTATCTTATTTTAGAACATTTTCATCACCCCCAAAAGAAACCCTAACCCATTAGCAGTAATTCTTCAGCCTCCCCTTCTCCAAAACCCCAGAAACCACGAATTCAGTTTCTGTCTCTATAGGTTTTCTTATTCTGGACATTCATGTAAATGGAATCATACAACAGGATGGAGTCATTTAGCATGATGTTTTCAAGGTCCATTCATGTAACATGTATCAGTATTTTATTCCTTATAACAGATGGATAATATTTTATCATTTGGACATACCACATACTATTTATCCATTCATCATTTGATGGACATTTGGGTTTTTATATATAACTTTTTTTCTGTTATAAATAATGCTGCTGTGAACATTCATATACAATTTTTTGTGTGAATATGTTTTCTTTTTCTAAAAATTTTGAAATCTATATTTTAAATCAACAAGTAAAAGATGTGTCTTTATGGATAAATGTTTTACATTATTGGGGTATATACCAAGGAGTGACATTTCTGGTCACATGGTAACTCTATATTTAACATTCTAACAACTGCCAAACTGTTTTCCAATGTGGCTGCAGCATTTTATATACCCACCAGAAGTGTATGAGGGTTCTTATTTCTGCACATCCTTATCAACATTTATTATTTTCTCTTTTGAATTTTAGCCATCCTGGTGAAGTGGTATTTCATTATAATTTTAATTTGCATTTCCCTGATGGCTAGCGATGTTGAGCATCCTTTCATATGCTTTTTGGCTATTTAGCTTCTTTAGAGAAACTATTCAAATTCTTTGCTCATTTTTCAATTGGGTTATTTGTACGTTTATTTTTAAGGTATAAGTATTGTTATATTTTCTGGATAGTAAACCCTTATTGGATATAGGATTTGCAAATGTTTTATCCCATTCTATGCATTGTCTTTCTATTTTTTTGCTGGTGTCCTTTGCAGTACTAAAGTTTTTACTTTTGATGAAGTCCGGTTTATCTATTTTTTTCTTTTTCTTTTGTGCTTTTGATGTCACACATAAAAAATGATTGCCTAATTTGAGATCATGAAAATTTACTTCCATGTTTTCTTCTAAAAGTTTTGCAGTTTTAGCTCTTACATCTACAACCCATTTTGAGTTAGTTTTTGTATATGATGTGAGGAAGGGGTCCAGCTTTATTCTTCTGTGTTTGGATATACAGTTGTCCAGCACCATTTGTTGAAAAGGCTATTCTTTCCCCATTAAGCTGCTTTGGCATCCTCATCATTCCCTATATTCTTTACGTTAGTGATCTTCTATGCTTTATTTTAGGGATGCTGTTACTATCCACGTAGAGCCTAAACTAAAAAGTTCAGCAATGCTATCTTTTCCATTTTGATCCATGCATGTTTTAGGAAGACTGCATCAACACATTACCTTGCCTGCTGGCTTTCAGTGGCTTCAGCCAAATTTCAGTCCCCAATAGAGTAGGAGGTTGGGGGAACACTAAGGCCAGGGAGTTGGTTCTCCTGGCTCCCTTTCTGCCAGGTCACAGATTCCTTCCTAAAGACCACATCCCTGGTCGGGTGACCTTCTTCTATCACTACTCTTTGGGTTTCTATGTCTACTTTCTCCATTTACTCCTCAGATCATGGGGTGGTCCTGGCTCTTTGTTAAGTTAATTCCAGGGTGCTGCTCTGTCCCTCACTGACTTCCTTAATTCTGTCTGTGTTTATAAAGAGTCCCTCATTACACTTTCTTCAATTATCCCCTTTGAGTGTCCCATCTCTGTCCTTCTGGGCCCTGACAATCAGAGATGGTGGACACACCCTAAACCCAATGAATGGTTATATCTTTTCCAGCTCAAGTCACTATTTTCTGTCCATCCTTGGTGCTTGGTGACTCTTCCCCAATCTTTGAAGCAGAGGTCTTCTGTGATCTTATCATAATGGTCTTTACTTATCAGCAAACATTAAATGTAAACAATCAGCCTTATGGGAGGAGGCAGGGTGTTTCTTCCCAGGATAACCTGTGGCCTCTCTGCTGTTTCAGTTGTGGTAGTTCTTGAAGTCTGTTATCTGAAGTTACCAGTATTTACCTTAAATGAAACCCAAACTCTCTGGCTTAGCTCCAAGGCCTTTTAAAATCTGACCTCAGACCATCCCTTCAACACTTGTGTCTTTCTCTGCATCTCTTATACTATGTTTTAGTCAAACTCATGTATTATTCATGTAGCAGGCAGAATAATGACCCACTCCCCGCAAAGATGTCCCAGTTCTACTTCCTTGGGAATATGATGAAAGCAGATGTCAGAGTGGTGTGCTTGCTGGCACTGAGGATGAAGAAAGGTGGGGAAAGAGGACACCAGACAAGGAATCTGGGCAACTTCTGGAAGCAGCTAAAGGCAAGAAAACAGTCTCTCCCCTAAGTCTTTCAGAAAGGAATGCAAATCCTGCTGACACCTTGATTTTAGCCCAGTGAAACTTACTTTGGACTTTTGACCTTCAGAACTGTAAGATAACAAATTTGTGTTGTTTTAAGACACCAAGATGGTGATAATTTGTTACAGTAACAACAGGAAACTAATGTATTTCCTGAATACTCATCCCATTTCTCAATATAAGCCAGTGGTTATCAACCTTAGTTTACATTAGAATCACCTAGGAAGCCTTAAAAAAAGTACCAGGACCTGGATCCCATCTCCAAAGATTCTTATTTCCTTAATGTCTGTACATTAGTGTTTTTAAAAAAGGTACCCAGGAAACTCTAATATATAGCCAGAATTGGAAACCACTGATCAAGACATTTACTCAATGCTGTCTCTCTACAGGAAATGATTTTCTTTATATCTCAATGATTTCAACTTTGGATGCTGAGTAGAAACACCAGGGGACTTTTTTTGAGTGTGTGTGTCCAGCATTGTTTATTTATAAAAGCAGAAAGATGAATAATTTTGAAAGACAATAGCTAATAATGCTTTATACAAAAATCAGCTAAAATATTACAGTTTGTATTATGTTGTGGAACCAGAGGGCATATAAAAAAGAAAAATCATGTAGTAACAGGTTCTTCTAGAGGATCAGACATTTTGAATTATGCGTAAGGGAGGGAGAACATTCAATCTTACACAAGTTGTCTCTATGATTATATATATAGTTGCACTATAGGTTCTGGGGTACATGTGCAGAACATGCAGGATTGTTGCATAGGTACATACATGGCAATGTGGTTTGCTGCCTCCATGCCCCGTCACCTATATTTGGCATTTCTCCCCACGTTATCCCTCCCCAACCTCCCTACCCTATGCTGTCCCTTCTCTATTACCCTCCAACAGACCCCAGTGTGTGATGCTCCCCTCCCTGTGTCCATGTGTTTTCATTGTTCACCTCCCATCTATGAGTGAGAACATGCTGTGTTTGATTTTCTGTTCTTGTGTCAGTTTGCTGAGAATGATGGTTTCCAGATTCATCCATGTCCCTACAAAGGACACAAACTCATAGTTTTTTAATGAGTATTCCATGGTGTATATGTGCCACATTTTCCTTGTTCAGTCTATCATCAATGGGCATTTGGGTTGGTTCCAGGTCTTTGCTATTGTAAACAGTGCTGAAATGAACATACGTGTGCATGTATCTTTATAATAGAACAGATTTATAAAAGATTTATAATC